ATATTTCGAGGGAGAGAATAGAAAGACAAGTTAAGAATGATATTCTTCCTCCATTAGAGCTCTCAGATTAAGAACAATGCAGGGAATGCATAAAAGGAAAGTATTTAAAGAAGATTAAGAAAGATGACAAACGAAGCGCAGGAATTTTACAGATTATTCACACAGACATCTGTGGTCAACTTTCCTATAAAGAGTGTGGATGGTTATGATCTGTTCATAACATTCACAGATAATTACTCCCATTATGGCTATATTTATCCAATCAAAGAAAGAAAAGATGTATTGAATAAATTTAAGATATTAAAGATTAAGATAGTCAGGTCTGACCGTAGGGGGTACTACGGTTGGCATACCCTAAAAGAATGGCATAGTAGCTTAGTATTCTACACTGGGCGAACCTCAGCAGAATAGAGTAGCTAAAAGAATCAATCGCACCCTGATGGATATGGTGGGCAGTATGATAAGTTACTCCACCTTACAGTTGAGCTTGTGGATGGAGGCGTTAAAACTGACATTCATATTCTCAATAGAGTACCAAGTAAGTCGGTGCCTAAAACACCGTATGAGTTATGGACAGAAAAAATACCCTCACTAAACCACTTGCGTGTGTGTGGGGGAGTCCTGCTGAGGCTAAAGTATTTAACCCAAAATAGTAAGTTGCCATTTGTTTGGCTACCCAAAAAAGTCAAAAGATTTTCATTTCTACTGTCTAGAGAGATATACAAAGTTTGTGGAAACGAGACACGCTGTCTTCCTAGAGGATGAACTGATGAGGGGGAGCATGGTAGCTCGAGAAATTGACCTTGAAGTGAAGCGGGTGTATGCGCCCACTCCAATGATTCATGAGCCAATTTTCTCACTACCTGTTGTCGCTGCACCGATAGTGCAAGAGACTATGGTGTCAGCAGCTGTTGTTATGCCACCTGTGGCACCAATGAATAACGATGAGGAACCTGTTCTTTAGGATTCTATAGAACCTATTGCCACACATGAGGGGGAGCAACAATAGCCTCAAACAGAAGATGTGCCAAAAGTGGAGGCCCCTAGAAGGTTTCAAAGAGTTAGAAAATCAGCTATTCCTGCTGATTATGAAGTGTACAACACTGAGGAATTTCAAATGGAGGATGATCCCACCTCATTTGAAGAAGCCACGAGAAGTGATCATTCATCAAAGTGGCTTGAGGCCATAGAAGATGAAATGAAATCAATGAATGCCAATAAAGTTTGGGACTTGGAAATAATTCCTAAAGGAGCCAAAACAGTAGGCTGTAAATGGGTCTACAGAACAAAACTTGGCTCTCAAGGGAATATAGAGAAATATAAAGCGCGACTTGTGGCAAAAGGCTATATGCAAAGAGGAGGGATTGATTACAATGAGACCTTTTCTCCAGTCTCATGTAAAGTTTCCTTTAGAATCATACTGGCATTAGTGGCACATTACGATTGAGAATTACATCAAATGGATGTAAAGACGGCATTTCTCAACGGAGACTTGGAGGAAAATGTTTACATGGCACAATCGAAAGATTTTGTCATGGAAGGAAAAGAAAACGAATGTGATGCCGCCTAAAGAAATCCATTTATGGATTAAAACAAGCTTCAAGACTGTGGTACTTGAAGTTTGATCAGACAATAAAGAATTTTGGATTTTAAAGAGAATATAGAGAACAATTGTGTCTATACAAAGTAAAGAGAATATAGAGGACAATTGTTTTAATACAAAGTTTAAGAATTAGAAGTTTATCTTCCTTGTCCTGTATGTAGATGATATCTTACTTGCTAGTAGTGATGTCAGTCTACTACTGGAGACAAAGAAATTTGATATGAAAGATCTTGGCGAAGCCTCATTCGTTCTAGGGATTGAGATTCACCGAGATAGAAGAAAAATGGTATAAGAACTGTCACAAAAGGCATACATGGAAAAGATCTTAAAGAAATTCAGTATGCACAAATGTAGTCCCTCACCTGCTCCTATAGTCAAGGGCGACAGATATGGAGATTTTCAATGCCCTAGGAACCAATATGAGCTCAATTGATAAAGTGAAAGTGGTTCCATATTCTTCAGCTGTCGGAAGCTTGCAACATGCTCAAGTACGTACGCGCCCTGACTTGGCATTTATTACTGGGTTTTACTTGGCAGATTCCAGAGCAATTCTGGAATAGAACACTGAAATTAGTAAAGAAAGTCTTGCATTATTTGCAAGGAACGAAAGGTCTCATGATGACATATAGAAGATCTTATTCATTCTACATAGTGGGATATTCAGATTCTAATTATGCGAGAGTGAATACATATCCTGACGTGGATTTTCTATCATCTCGCAAAGGGGAGCTATTTCATGAAAAAGCTCAAAGCAAATTGTCACTACATCGTCCACAATGTATGACGGTTTGTAGCGTGTTATGAAGCAACGGGCAGGTGAACTGACTAAAGAAGTTCATACCCGGTTTGAAGGTGGTTGACGTCATCTATAGACCACTTAAGTTATACTGCGATTATAATCTAGCAGTACAGTATGCTCACAACATAAGTCAGGTGGTGCTACCAAACACATTGACATAGAGTATTATGTTGTGAAAGATAAAGTCTGGGATCAAGTCATAAGTCTTGAGCATATAAGTACAGAAAGAATGCTCGCGGATCCGCTTACAAAAGGCTTACCACCCAACATGTTCAGAGAACATGGTGTTCAGAGAACATGTAGCTAGCATGGGTTTAAGGAAAGCCTAAAATTCCTGGACAAAAGAAGACCCAAAGATTAGTATCTATTTCAGAACAGAGTAGTGCGTTGTAGCTGTTAAATCTATCGGCAATGGACCGGGACGATGAGACATGCTCTATGCGCTAATCTATAATGGAATGAATAAAAGTAAATAATATGAAATTAAAAGATGGAATGAGATTAAGGAGAAGAATGTTAGTTGATCTCCACCAATAGGCCCAACGGCCTATTGGGCCCTTGCCTCTGCTCCCTGATCGGGGGAGCCCAACCCTAACTGGTTGGTGGGCCCCTGTCGCACAGCACATATATATAGAGGAGTGGGGAACTGGGCTCGTGTCACGAGGTTGAACGGAGCCGCCACCCACCTATAGAGAAAACCCTAATCCGATTCTAAAGAAGTGCTGTCAGCGACGGGATGTGCCCACCGACGACATCGTCGCCCCCTGCAGGTCTACACCGTCCCCTCTGGACCTCCACGGCATCGCCACCTCGCCTCCTCACCACCGTGCCAAGTACCGGCGTCCGCGAGGCTGCAGCCAGACGTGCAGAGGAACCCAGGGCGAGGAGCCTTCCCGGATCTACAATTACAGAGAGGTACACATTCGATTCTAACACCCTAGGCACCCAAGTCGAGGTAAGAGTCAAGCCAAGAGGTGCGGACCTGCTCACATGAGCTCTGTTTGGCAGGGGCGTTCGCCTCTCAGCGGCGTGTGGCGACGCCACGACGGCGAGCGCACACCACAGCATTGTCGTGCCCGGTACCTCATGGAGTCATGGGAACAGAAGGAACAGGCACCGAACGATCGGCTACACGATCCTCTATGGCGGTACGAGCAAGGAGGAGGCGGAGGCAGTGGCGCGCTGCCGGTGGCAGAACTGGTCCGCTCCTTGCTGAACCTCACGGAATCGAAAGCTACTGCTACGAGAACAGGGGATTTGGGTCTGGGCTTGCCACGGCCGGTCTTGGACGGAATGGGCCAAGACGGAACCCATGTGAAAAATGATTAAGAAAATATTTAATTAATTAGACAGCTACTTTAAAGATATGTTCAGTGTTTAGAAAGAGGAGCATTGGAGTAACAGCTATTTTTTTTGGCTAGAGTGACAAATGGAATTGCTCAATTATTGTACACGAAGGCCCAGATCAAATCAAAAACAAGATAAACATCTAAGTTAAAAGCCTTAATACTGTACCTTAGACATCATGCTTATTTGATTGCGGTTCTTGATCTTCAACACCTTGTATTGTTTCTACTGGATATGGCTCTGAACCCCCTAGCTCTTCTTGTTCTTCAGATTCAGCAACATTAGCACTTTCATGAATGCTTTGGCCCGAGTTACTACCACTTGCTGAAATTTTACAAGTATGCAAAATCATTAAATTCAATTGACTAAGCAGTAACAAATCTCTATCTATTTGATTGACTAACAAGTAATCAAATCACGAATTTGCAATGGGCGAAAGATGCAGGACCCCGGACACGGGACATGCCTCCGAGGTGAGATTTTAGCACCGTACGACAACAATCTGTGCGCGCCGCAACCAGATCCTACGCTCGTGTCATTGGAACGTCAATGTTGCTTCCGCTATCGGTGCCTAGGACTAGGAGCACGAGCCACTCCGGTCGTCTCGTGAGGGGACGGAATCCTTCTTTTTCTGTTCGCTGGTCGATTTCTGAGTTGATAAGTTTAGTTAGGCTAGTGCTGATTTGTTGTGAGAAAAAAATATTGTTGACCGACTAATAAGCTGAAACCATCAAGCGAACAAGCTGTTTGTGTAAAGTGTTATAGGGTTTAGGATGTAGGGTCTACGGGTGAGTTGTGCAAGGCCAGCTCCACCCCGGGCGCCACAAAGCTGCGCGGGCGAATCTCTGTCCGGGCCAGCGCGAGCTGTTAGGTGTGCGGATTAGCTGGTTGCTCTTTTTTTTCTTTCATACACGAATGGTTGTTCTTTCACGGTGAGGCATTCTCTTATACGTACAAGTAAGACAAAGACATCTAAAGAACATGTTTTTTCTTGATCATGGATGCTGGATGCATCATGCATACATGTATTATTAAGCTATTTGCATACAGTCAAATAGATGATCCATTGTATACTTTGTGAGTTGTGACTCACCCGGGATCTGATCAATCTGATACGTACATAGCATGCCTGATGGGCCATGGCAATACATGGAAGAAACGGCAAAGCATTTGGACAACACCTCATAGGCCATGGCAATCGGCAGCGCCGGCCGTCCTCGTCTCCTCGATCACGTCTTAGGTTAGGCACTGTCAGTTGCACCGTTCATCGCTGCGCCGGCCGTCGTAGGTTCGCTGCAGCTCGTCCACCAACCGCCGGAGCGCCAGCCGCGAGGTGCCGCCTTCGCCCACGGCCGCCCGCGCCGCCTGCCGGACCTGCTCGGCCCTGGCGCGCATCCTCCGCCCGGCCTCGCCGCCGTCCATCAGCTCCCGGACCTTCTGCGCCACCTGCGCCCTGCCGACCAGCTCGGGCGCCACGTTCGCGCCGGCCCTCACACCCGCGCGGACACCGGCGCCGAGGATGTCCGCGACGTGCTTCGCGTTCGCGGCCTGCTCGGCCATCACGGGCCACGCCAGCAACGGCCGCCCGGCGGCGAGGCTCTCCAGCACCGAGTTCCAACCGCAGTGGCTCACGAACCCTCCCACCGCCGGGTGCGCCAGCACGCGCCGCTGCGGCACCCACCCCCTGACGACCTTTCCCTCGGGCCCCGCGTCCACCGGCGGCGACCACGCGTCGTCGGAGGACCGCACGGCCCAGAGGAAGGCGTGGCCGGAGTCCACCAACCCGTGCGCGAGCTCCTCGAGCTGCGCCACGGTGACGTGGACCTGCGTGCCGAACGACACGTAGACCACCGACCCGGGCCGCCGCTCGTCGAGCCACGCGAGGCACCCTTCGGGGTCCTCGTCGTCGTCATCGTCGCCCTCCGGTGACTCGCCGGCGGCGAGGAACAGCGGGCCAACTAGCCAGGCGCGCGCGCCCGGGAGGTAGAATGACTCGAGGATCGCGGCGTAGTCCCCGTCCAGCGCGTCGAAGCTGTTCACCAGGACGCCCCAGCTCTTGTAGTCCCAGTCGCGGACCTCGTCGAACAAGAACCGTGTCACCGGGTCGTCGAGGTCGGCGGCCTGCGCCACGGCGTGCGGGACCTCGTCCGCGGTGATTGTGACGCTCTCCGGGAACCCCGGGACGCGGAAGGGGGCGCCGTCCTGGATGCTCTCGGGCGGGGGCGGCCTGGTCGCGAGGGAGAAGCAGAGCGCCAGGGAGAAGGCGGACATGCCATGGAACGTCACGCGGGGGACGCCGGCGTCGCCGGCGACGCGCTGCGTGAACCCGAGGAAGAAGTCGGAGACGAGCGCGAGCGGCGGCGCGGGGAGCGAGGCCAGGTACCCCGCGAAGGGCTCCCGGAGCAGCGCCGTGGCGCGCAGGAACGCCGGGAAGAGCGAGTGCGAGGGGAGCGCGTCCGTGGACTCCACGCCCGCGGGCAGCTCCGGGTGGCTGGGGAACGGGAGCGTCACGAGGCCGACGCGCGCCGGGAGGCGGCGCCGCGCGAAGGCGAGGTTGCCCGGGGTGGTGACCACCGTGACGCGGAGGCCGCCCTGGTGCGCGGCGAGCGCCGAGGCGAAGTGGAGGAGCGGGAGCGTGTGGCCCTTGGCCATGAACGGGAACACCACGACGTGGTCGCGGCCGGAACCGGCCGGGGCGGCAGGACGCGCGGCGTCGGCGGTGGCCATGGTTGCGAGTGCTGGGAGCGGCGGAGCGACGCGACAGGTGATAATAATTTGTGCCTACTGTACTCGCGTAGTGTCGTGCGGGTGCGGCAGGTGAGCGGACAGGACGCACGACTTCTACGCTCTACGCCGACACCCTATACTGTACTACTCGCGTAGTGGCGTGCAGGGTGCGGCAGGTGAGCGGACAGGACGCACGAACAGAGCAGTTTATTACGCTGTTCGCTTGAGCTACTCTCGAGATAGTGTTTTCTAAAATTTCATCGTAAATATCAGCGTAAGCTAAATTTTAGCATAAGTGAATGCAGAAAAATGTATCTAACATACAATAGAACGCAGAAAATTTAGGGTGTGTTTATTTGTGGAATTACTTCATGCATAATGAGTTGATACATCATGAGTTCATCTCATGAATCTTGATGAAACCAACTCATTCTTTATGCATATACTAGTTATTAGCTTGTGAGAAATAAGATACATTTCACAACCCAAATACAAAAAATAAGAGTGAAAAGAGGATAAACCACTCTATTCCTCAGATGAAACACACCCTTAGTTTACGGCCAATTACCAGTAGGTCCCGATTCAAGCTATACCTTAATTATGAAATTTATGTTCTGCTACGTATATATTCTAAATTGTAGTTTATTTTAGACTTGCTCCAAGTCAAACTTGAGTAGTACTGATCAAGTTTTTAGAAAAATGTATCTAACGTCTATAAATTCAAACAAATGCATAATTATTAAATATTTTATGGAGAATTTAATGAAACTAATTTTGATGTCATCGACGATGATGCACAATTTTCTATAAATCTGATGAAAGTGACGAAATTTGACTTAGAAGATAGAACAAGTTTAAAGTGAGCTGCAATTTAGAAGGAATGTATATTTAAATAAGAACCTTAAAACTTTCTCTCCGGAACAAATAAAAAAGCTCGAACAAATAACTCTGACTTTGAGAGACCCAGAACTAGAACTCAGATTTGCTGTGCCCTTAGCTCCACCAAGAATTCCTGGAGCTCAACTAAGACCCTGTTTGTTAGGGGGCTTTCGCTTTTCCAAAACAATGAAGGCAAGAAAAAGTCATATTTTGTGGTTTCAACTTTTAGCAGAAAACGGTTTCGGTTCCATCGTTTTTCGTTTTGTTTTAGCTGCATAGTTGTTTTCGCATGGCAGGACTTTTGATTAAGCCAGTGAAGAAACACTGACAAGTGCCAAAGATGGTCTAATAGCTTAGGTGTAACGTACTCCCTTCGTCCCATTGAGTTTGTCGCTCGGGAAGCGGGATTGTGAGGGGGGCACGGTTTTCAAACGACAAACTCAATGGGACGGAGGGAGTAGCTCTCAGTATCATTTTTTTTTTGTCCTTGTGATGTGAGCATGCAAGATTAGTTTGGATGTGTGTCTGACAAGGAAGCGACAAGTTAATAACCAGCAATTTGTTTCAATCGTTTTCAATCGCCTCTAAATATGAATGCTCGATTGACTGATTGTTAGTTACGGAGTACGTATAAGCGGACATCTGCTCGCTTGGGGCGCGTTTGGTAGCCTGTACGAGGGCTGGGCCAGGCCGCTCGGATGCATGCGCTCGCGTTTGGTTGGCTAGACGGATCATTGGGCCAGGCTCACACGCTACTCAAAGCATGAAAGATGCTGCATCTAGAGAAACGTCAGAATTGGTCGCATCCGGTGAGCCAGGCTCGCGTTGTGCAAGATTAGCATAGCTAATGACGTTATTAGCACATAATTAGTGAATATTAAGTGATTTCAAATCAAATTAAGATTGGATTAGGTAAATTAAAATTTATTATGGCATAATATCATAAGTAATTAACATTTTAGTATTTATTTTGACATATTCGTGTTACATGATTTGTGCTTATACGGGCAACCAAACAACTTCTCTTCCAAACCAGGCTACATGCATACAAGGAACCAAACATAACATGCGATCAGCGTGGCTAGGGTGAGCCAGGCCCATGGATAAGGACCAGGCTAGCTACATGCAACCAACCAAACAGGCCCTTGAGATTTCTGTGGCTGTTTGAGCTGCAGCTGCTACAGATGCATAGCCCATCTGCTGCTATCTCAGAGCTGCAGCTGCAGACTACTGTATTTGCCGCTGTAGGAACGGCTACACTATTTGGGATGCAGGAACTGTTGGCTGGCTGGCTGCTACATCCTTTTGTGATAAGGCACTGTGCGTGCTTCTGTGCTCCTGCTGCTAATGCGAGTGCTACAGCTGCCCATTGCTTTCTGCTGCTACTGTGGGTGCACAGTAACTTGCTGGTTGGTGCCAAAAGTCAATTGCTTCATATGCTATTTTTTTTCTTCTCGTAGCTCACTACCACACAGCATATTGCATGAATATTATAAAATAATACACACACACCTTAAAAGTACAAGACAAAAAAATTAGAAGTTCAATATTCATACAAAAATAAGTGTTTCACCAAACAAATAAGATCCCACAATTAATCTCTTATAGCAAACAAGACAACATTAAGGTTATCAAGAAAAACATTCATGTCTCCTTCTTCATCATCTAGATAATTATTAGCTTCACTTCTTTGAAATGAAGAAATCCATGTCCATGCTGCAGACCTACAGTTGCTAGCTAGTTGGGGTGATGGATTCGAAGCCATCGTTTCCAATGGTTAGCGGAGCGGCATGATTCCCCCCAGGAGCGATCTTCTGTGGGTTGGCATCTTTTGGATAGCTGCGGTCTATGATGACTGGCGCGGTTGTGACTGGCCACACATGCTTGTGGCCGGTTCGCCGCCGCTGCGACAACCGGCGGATGGCGGCTCATTGAAGACAGCGGCTTGTGCGCGGATGCTCGTGGTTTCTCTAGACGCTTGTGAGGCGTCGATGTGCAATGGCGTTGGCGACGCTCTTTGCTTGGTGCAGGAACAAGATGTGTCTTCCCTCGGTGGCCGGTGCCATGTAGGATGAAGGCGGCTCTAGTGGGTTGGCGTGGCGGCGGCAGGTCACGCATGCCGGATCGAGACCTTGTTGGTGCCCGATCTTTTGCTGGTGGCAGTTGGTTGTGGTCATCCATGATGTGACTGGTTTGGGCTTAGGTGTTGGGGGTTCTCGGGTGAAGGCCCTGATTGGCCCTTTGGCTTTGGCCGACAATGGTGACGCCTTTGGTAGCACATCCCTCATTGGAGGTATTGTCGTGAGGCCCCTTGCTCTCTAGGAGGTTGGATGAAAAACATTGGTTCTCCATTCGGTGTTGATGGCATCTACGGATGTCATTCCCCTCCTTGGAGGCATCGCTGCCGAAAACCTACTTCCCCTACTAGTGTACATCGCCTGTGCTCTTTGGTGTGCAGAGTGTCACTATCCGTTGCTTTTAAGATCGTCGGCTTTGTGTTTCTTGCGGAAGTGGTTTTGTTGTTGCCTCCTTCGTGAGATTGTTGTTGTTCTTGTTTCTTTTTCTTGTATTGTAATGCTTCTTCTCTATTAGTACATGCCCGGCATACTGGTGTCGATGGCTCTTAAAAAAGATTTGAAGCCATCGTCGCCATTCCTAAACATGGATCCATGCTGTCAAGAAGGGTGACGTGCTCGTTAGCTTCTGGGGCGTCTACATTTCTTTTCGTAGGGGAGCCGCTCGGCACTCGGTGCTGGTGGAACAGAGGGGAGTTGCTCGGAGCTTCTCGGCCTCGGCGGAGGGATGAGCTGCTCTGTGCAAGCAGTGGTGGCAGAGGGACACGACGTGGCCCTAGTGCAGGAGACTCGGCGCTGCAGGCGAAGGGAGACATGTCGGCTGTAGGAGGCCTTGGCGGCGCTGGCGGTGGAGGCGAGCGACCAGCGGTGTAGGCATGTTGGGTCTACGATGTCTGCAACGTAGGAAAAGGGGAAGGAATAAGGTTGGATGGTGAGAGGGTATTCTGACCATTTCTCCATCTATTAGCTGTTATTAGTTAGTTTGGCTCAATTAATAAGATAGTTATTACTTATTAGTTCAGTATTTAGCTAACAATTAGCTAGACCTGCTTCATCCAAAAGTGCTAATTATTAGTAGCTTTGACTGATAGATCTACTGATTAATCTTGGAACGAAAAAATCTTCCTTGTAAGATGACGTGAAAGCAGCAATCGTGTCCATATGTGTATGATCCATGATGCATGGTTTCAAACTACGTGCTCGTGCAGCTGCATCCCATCAATACAATGTTGCCGCACATAGGTTGTAGTTCTGTCTGTGGTGGCCATGCCTGCGGTAATGGTGCAAAACCGTGTGTCTTAATCTAGAAACCAGTGAAAACTAAAGTCTAAATAAGCACCTTGACGGTATATACCCGTCCAACTTTCGAACTCTCTACTGTTTAAGTGCGTACGTGATCACTCACACGTTGCACCTCGCTGAAGCCTGAATGAAGCCTTGCATTGCACTGGCACACGGTCCACATATGGCTCTTGCTGCTCTCCTGCTCGCCGTGCTCACATTCTCGCTGTGCGCGCCGCCGCCGGTCGCCGGGGAGCTCGCCTCCGTCGAGCACCCGGTGGAGGAGGGTCGGCCGCTGCGCCTCCTCATTGTCGGCGACTGGGGTCGTAAGGGGATGTACAACCAGTCCAGGGTAGCAGCACAGGTATGTCTATGTACTGTCCTGTTCCATTACAGTTTCAAAAATTCAACCTTTATACGCGCACGTCTTTTTTTATATCCTTTATTTATCTAAGAAAATGCACACGTCTTTTTTTTTTAAAAAACCACTGCTTCTTCGTACATCTGAAACGTCCATGAGCATCCAGATGGGGAAGGTGGCGGAGGACATGAGCGTCGACTTCGTCGTGTCCACCGGAGACAACTTCTTGGACGACGGCCTGTCCAGCGTCCATGACAGGGCGTTCCGTGACTCCTTCGTGGATGTATACACGGCCAAGAGCCTGCAGAAGCCATGGTACCTTGGTAAGCCATGTGGTTAATTCCTGATCATGTCTTGTCAGTTCCCAATCGGCATATGTCTTTACATGTACTCTGGACAGTATATAAGTGGCGAATGAACAATGATGCGTTTTTTTTTTCGTTTTTCATTCAGTTCTAGGGAACCATGACTACAGGGGAGACGTGCTAGCACAACTTGACCCGGCTTTGCGCAACGTGGACAGCCGGTTTATGTGCATGAGATCCTTCGTTGTCAATGCAGGTGGGGATGGAATAATAGGACCCAATCATTTCTGCAAATAAACTGCACACGGATTCTGCTGAATTTATTAACGATATGAGTTTCTGTCAGGAATCGTCGATTTCTTCTTCATCGACACAACCCCATTTCAGCTCAAGTATTGGACTGATCCAGGAGAAGACCACTACGACTGGAGGGAAGTCGCGCCTCGAGAAGCCTACATCGAACATCTCCTAAAGGTGCATATATATGCACGCACTACTGCATGTCTTCATCTAATTAATCTGGGCAGAGCGAATCAATCCACTGTTTTCGTATATAATTGCAGAATCTATCATGCATGATACATAATGAGTTAACATGACGACCGGTGTGTTTAAACTTTAAACAACTGATCCTCTAGGATATGGACGGTGCAATGAAGAAATCAAGAGCGAGATGGAAGGTAGCCGTAGGGCACCACACGATGAGGAGCGTGAGCGCCCATGGCGACACCCTGGAGCTCCTCCAGCTTCTCCTCCCCGTGCTCAAGGAGAACGGCGTCGACCTCTACATCAACGGCCATGGTCACTGCTTGGAGCATATCAGTAGCAGGGAAAGGTAGAGGTGGATTAGTTCAGAATCCGATCCTCTGCTACCTTATTGTTTATTAATCACTCATGAAATTATGCAAATTAAATGATAATTCTGCTGCTGCAGTCCAATCCAGTTCTTCACCAGTGGAGGCGGGTCCAAGGCGTGGAGAGGCATCCTCCGACCCAATGACGACAAGCTCGAGTTCTTCTACAACGGGCAAGGCTTCATGTCCCTGGAGGTGGATGCTGACATGGCCCGTGCCATCTTCTACGACATCCATGGGCAGGCATTGCACAACTGGAGCTTGAGCAAAAGCAATCGGCAGCAGGTTGTTCAGTGCTCTGCTCTTGTTTCTCAGGAATAAGGCCTTCGGCTCCTTGCTACAGTGCTCGAATCAAGAAACAGTGACTTCACTAGTTCTCCTAGAACTGACAGTGATCTAGCGGGTAGAATTTGACTTAGACAATACCTTGTTAAGTACCTCATCGAAAGGCAGTTGCGGTCATGGCGCCGCCGACGAGGTAGCAGCGACGTGGAGGCGCGGTCCAGTGGCGACGGCAAAGGTGATGGCGCTTCTCGTCGCTCATAGCACACCCTCTCGATCGGTCTAGGGTTATATTCGATGGGGAACTGGCGGCAGCAGTGAACCTCGTACCTTGCGTCCCGGCCCCCACCTTCTTCTTTATAGTGTTGCGCGACGGGGGGTCATTAGTCAGGAGAACGGCTGGGCACCCCCGATCAGAGCGCGGATCAAGAGCCCAATTGGCCGTTGGGCCAACTGGTAGAGATCAATCTAACATTCTCCCCCTTGATCTCACCTTATGATTTAAACTTAACTTACTTTATCTTTTTTCTACTCCATCGTAGATCAGTGCATAGAGCATGCTTCGTCATCACGATCAGTTGCCATTAAATTAAACAGCTACAATGCACCTCTCTGTTTTGAAACAGATTCTCAACTAGGCCCTTAGTATTCAGAAATCATAGGCTTTCCCGTAAACCTATGTCGACTGTGTGTTCTCTGAACGTACTGGGTGGTTAGCCTTTGGTAAGCGGATCCGCAAGTATTTGCTTGGTACTTATATACTCAATGCTTTCAAAACGATTCTGGATTGTCTCCTTTACAACATATAACTTAATGTCAATGTGTTTGGTAGCACACTTGACCTGTTGTCTTAGGAGTTAACTACTTTAAATGGTTATTGCTGTTGACTACTATTGTTAAATCCGGGTAAATATTCCCTTAACCACTTTTACCTGTTCCTGAGGCCTTATGACAAGCTATACTATGATATACATTATTGATGACACCATAACTGTTTTATTGGAGCTTTTCCACAATAATACTCTAACTGCGAGTGTTAGCAACTACTGTGGATTTCACTACACATCTCGCCAAATCTTAACATTTGTACCCATAACTATTTGAGAGTACTTGTTCTTTCTTATTCAGCATGAGCCTATGATACTTTGCAAAAATTGCAAGACATTCTTAACTCCATTCCAGTGATCTATATCTGGACAGGACTTCTGTCAAAATATCTCGGATATATAAGCTACATCAGGGTAAGTTCTTACTTATACATTCATTAAGCTTCTAACAGCTGAAGCATATGGAACCATGTTCATTTGATTGATCTCATATCGGTTCCTGGAACACTGAAAGTTTCCAAATCTATTACCCTTGACTATAGGAGCAGGCGTAGGTTTACTCGCATGCATACTTTATTTCTTTAGAATCTTTTCTAAGTATACCTTTCTGATAGTCCTAATACACATTTTTATCTATCTTGGTGAATTTCAATTCCTAGAACCAACGAGGCTTCACCAAGATCATTCACATTGAAACTTGAGGACAAAGACTTCTTCTTCTCCAATGGCAGATTAACATTACTACTAGTGAGTAGGATGTCATCTATACACAGGATGTGAAAAAGAATTTTCTATTCTAGAACTTCGCATAAATGCTATTGTCCTTCTCATTTTCTTTAAATTCAAACTTTCTTATCGTTTCATCAACTTCAAATACAACTGTCTAGAGACTTGTTTTAACCCATAAATGTATTTCTACCGGCGGCATCCCATACGTTCTTTTTCTTCCATGGCAAAACCTTTGGGTTATACCATATGATCGTTTTCATACAAATCCCCATTAATAAATGTCGTCTTTACATCCATCTGATGTAACTCTAAATCGTAATGTGCTAATAACACCATTATGATTATAAAAGAATCCTTATATGAGACTAGAGAGATAACTCTCATCGTAATCTATTCATTCTCTTTGCGTAAAACATTTTGCTACAAGTCATGCTTTATATCTTTCTACATTCCCTTTGAAGTCATATTTTGTCTTGTAGACCCATTTACAACCTATTATTTTGGCTCCATTAGAAATTTCTACTAAGTCCCAAACATCGTTGGTATTCATCGAATTCATTTCAGCTTCCATAGCTTCTTTAAATGAGATGGGATCACCCTCCATTTGAACTTTCTTCACTAACATAGACTTCATAGTCATCAGAAAAACTGATTTACTAATTCTTTAAGACCTTCTAGGGTCTTAGCTACTGACACTTTCATATGGGACTGTTGTTGCTCTTCATTGTGAAGAGGCAATTGATTTTACAGGCTCTTGTATCACAAGATCCTAGTTTACATTATTCATATTATTCAAAGAGCCAACAACGGGTGTTGTATAAGTCATACAATATCAATAGGTATTGAGAAATTCATTGTTTTGAATCACTAAAGTAGGCACGCAGTCTCGCTTCTCTTCAAGTCATAGGTCTCTACATACAGTGCTCCCCCAGATCGTCCCATCTTTTATAAATATAGTGTATCTTCTAATTTCTTATTTGGGTTCAATCTGTTAAAACCTTATATGGTGCTTTAAGCACCGCTTTAATATCTTTGATGGTGACTACGCTATCTTCCTCTCGGAACTTTAAAAAATCTAGAAATTTAGTTGTTTCTTTGCTTAGGGGTATCATTGTTATGACCGACGGTCACATTCATCAAAATCTTTATCTCACTCAGTTTCTTACAAAATCTATATCTCATTCTTAATGAAGAGTACACATTCGTCAACTCTTTATCTCACTTTTAATAAAGAATAGTTTCTTAATTGATCTTAATTCTTACTCTTAGTTCATCTCATAATTCTCTCCCTTGAAATATGGCATGAACTATACTGCCATATGCCATATTTCAAGAACTATTCAGAAAACTGTGAACGAGGAGACACTTATGACTTACTTCATTCACATGATTATACTATGCAAATAAAGTTATTACTTGATCCATATAGGAGTACACTTTCCTCATTTCACTTCAAGAACTCGACGAAGTCTTTTATTAACTGTACTTTTGCGAGTCACGCTTACATATTTTTCTTGTCCTTTGATTAGTATTGACCATGACGATGCATTTCTACTATGCCATGGTCAATACTAGAATAGCATAAGAGTTACCCAAACTTCTCTCGCTATGCGGGATACAAAAACATATGAGTCATCACAAAACTTCTCCCGTCATGCAGGATTAACTAGCATAAGTATTATGCCAAATTTCTCCCCATACGGGATAAATCTATATACAAATTACCGTAACGAAAAATTTAGTCATGATGACTAAAATATTCACTTATACTTTATTTTTAATTAAATCTTTTCGTTGGTTTCAATTTAATCAGGAAATTAGTAAATTAACAAAAAATTATCCTGAACTGGCTTGACTCAAGCCTTTTCATTCACATACTCTAGTATTGCAGCCATTGGCATGCAGCCGAGTGATCTCGTCGATTAAAAAATAAAACTTACAAGATGCTTTTGCATCAATTCTATATCACCATTGGACAGAAAATAGAATTAATGCATAAGACTTATAAATTAACTTGAAAGACATATAACTACTCTTTAAAATTAAATTCTCCCGTTGGTTCGAATTTAATTAGAAGATAATCAACATCATTGCAGCGAAACACGATAATAAAATACATTCTATTAGTTCAGGAACATTTCTTGGTCTTTATCTACTCTCTGAAAAATTGACCATGTTGGTGTAAAATTTATCAGAGATTTAAACTTCAACATTAAACTCATTATAATATTGTTATCATCAACGTTGGTAAGAAAATAACAATACCATAATTTAACATAAACAAAACGGACTACTCCTTTAATTTAAATTTTCCCGTTGGTTCTAATTTAATTAGAGAATAAACATAATCATAATTTACTAAAAGTAACTGCTCTTCAAATTAAATTTTCCCGTTGGTTCGACTTTAATTAGAAGATAATTAACATTGAACTTTGTAGCGGAAATATGAAAAAAAAATTATCTACTTTTCAGAAACATTTCACTATACTCATCTACTCTCTAAACAAATTATTCTGTTGGTTTAAATTTGAGTAGAGATCAAACATTAAAACAAATTCATCAAAATGTGCTTCTGATAAAAGATTAAAACTTAAATCAGCGTTTACTGTTCATTCAGCCCGGCCTGGGAAATAGTCCATGGCCCAGCCTGCAGCAGCAGCGCGCGGCCCACTCACACGCGCGCTAAGCGCCTCCCCCGCGCCCAGGCCACAACCTGGGCCTAGGCCGAGAATTCACTCACCCGCCTGGGCTGAATCCGGCCTGACTCGCTCTGAGCCGTCGATCGCAATCGGACGGTTGTCCGGCCATCTCGACGGATCAAAACCGCCAGCGGCCAACTCTCCCCAAAACCCTAACTTCATTTGCTTCTTCCCTTTCTCTCTCTACGCCACGCGCATCATAGCGGCAACCGACCAGGGCGGCCAGGGAAAAAGTGGTGGCGCCGCCGTGGGGCCCCTCGTCGGCAAGCGCGCTCACCCGAGGCTGAGTGCGCCGCCGTCGAGCGGCCTTGCGACGTTGCCCTTGACTCCGAGGTCGAGGCGGAGGGCCACACGATGGCGTGACCTCCCCGGTCGGCGGCTTGGGTCTCTGACAGCATAGTGGCGGTGCCTTCGTTCCTGCTCAAACGATGGTAGCGCCAGCAGTGAGGAGAGCCTAGGTAGGTCCCTTCCCACAGTCCTACTTCTATTGTTGGATTAGGGTTAGGGTTAGGGTGAGGGTTTGATCTAAATCGAATTGAATCACCTCCTTCTTTCTTTCTGAGGCGGAAGATGGTGACACCATCGTGGATCCCTTCACCGGAGCTCACATGCGTCCATCATGTGGCTTCGTCGAATGGTCTCACGGCGGTGCCCTTATGCTAGAGTCCGCGCGCGCACAGAGGAAAAATAGCGATGGTGCTATGCGACTCTCTTCCCGCGCGCCGTCGAAGTGGCGGCGTGGTCTTCTTCCTGCGCGACGGTGGTGGTTACAGCGGTGGAGGAG